TGCAATCATTTCACCAGTGTTTACCTCAGTTCAACCTGTTTGACTGCAATCATTTCACCAGTGTTTACTAAGCCAAGCCAAACCTTGAAACAAACAGCACTGTTAAAAWTACTACTACAGCTATATATAATTATTATCAATGTAAACATATTTTCAATATTAAGTTCCTCTAAGGTTAAACTAGAAAATTTCAAGGTCAATGCATTCTCCAWAAAATCCCTAGTTGTCATCACTTACCGTCCCAAAGCCTCCTTTACCCAAGATACTTCCTTTCTGCCACTGAATYTCCTCCCCACAGCTTGTTGCAGATGACAAACTCCCAAYACTGATTTGACTTCGTACAAAAKGCCTGGAGTTGACAGCAAAGAAACCTTGTGTTGATATAACACTGTTGTTACTTATTGTAGACCTGCTGTCACTGCTACTGGTCTGCGATGTCTTGTAAGCACGCTCATGGGATGTTATATCAACTGACCCACGGGGGGTGTCTTGGTTAAGKGTTGAACCTCTGGAATTTTGAGGACTAAGAACACTGTCACTGCTTTCAAARGTTGAGCAGTCAGARACACATCGTGGTGTTGAATCACAGCTGATGTAAGATGAATCATTGTCAGATAATGCATCATCTATGAAGACATCATCTGATGAAGTGACGCTTGACTTTTCATGTTCCTGATCATCTGATTGGCTGCCTTGTGAGACATGTGACATCTGTTTGATGTAATTTATAGTCCTCTGGTGTTTGATTCTCTTGTTTCTTTGTTTGTACAGCCTTTCTAATTGTACCTTAGAACCAGTATTGTCAACATTCATCATTTCACCTAGTCTGTCATCATCATCATTATCATCATCATCACTATCCTCCTCCTCATCATCATCATCACTATCATCAACCTCATCTATCTGACTGTTATTTTGGGTGTTTAATCGCTGTTCTGGTGTGTTTTTCAGGTGATTTTGTGAAGCAGTAACCACCATGTCATCAGTATTYTGTAATATTTCTTGAAGCATGTTTTCCACATCCTCATTGATTTCATAATCGCTGTCTTTGTTTTGATCTATTACGAAACCATCCTCTTTGTGACCTGTACGACTACTACTATCATCATCATGTCTGTCATTGGCATCATGGTTGTCATCATCATCRACAGGCTTATCAACATCATGTTTGTCATCATTGTTATGCACAAGCTCTTCTTGATCTGAGTCATCATTGGTTGTATGCAGACGGGGAATACACATGCCAAATACATGTGATAGTATTCCTCCATCAACTTCATCATAAACATCATCATCTTCTTGACCAGGCTTTTGTGTTTCTTGTACACTAACTGTATTGATTTCTATTTCACTGTGATTATCATCAGTCTCTTCTACATAGTTATCATTGCTTGTAGTATCAGTATCTCTGCTCTCCTTTAGTGAAGTATCTGGCTCTTCTTTGCTACAGTTGCTATTGATAATATCACTRTTGATAACATTATTTACATTGTTGGATTTKGTACATGCTGACTTCTTAGCAGTGTGTATTTCAATSGAGCGTGGGGTAGAMGTGTTGCTGTARGGTGACTCAGGAATGGGGCTTAAAACAGGGAAATTTTTCATCATAACTTTGGTAYTAAATGTTCTTGAATCAATAGACAAAGTTGGCACATTGTCAACATCTGGGCTTGGGACTTCTATGGAAACATCACATGACGGCCCAGGTTCTGGTATGTATGCTGCTTCAGCACTTGATTGGTTTACAGTTATTTCTTTAAATGATTGTTTTTTCATTTTCCCTTTCTTTTTCCCTTTTTTCACTTGTTCTTTCCCACTTTTCTTCCTAGTTGGTGCACACTTTTTAGTTTCTACAGTACTCCCTTTTTTAGCCTTCTTGCCTGAGGTCTTYCTTTTWGTTGTCTTTTCACCAATAGGAGGTTGGACATCTGGTTTAGCACAACTAGGTGGTACAGGTGACGGGAATGCATTGCATATTTGCACACCATCATCTTGTGACCAGGCAGTCTTGGGTCCTTCAACAAGGTCTAAACCAAGATTATTTGTAATTGAAGTTGTCTCTTTACCTTGTGTTTCATCAGATAAATTTTTGTCATCTGTACAGAATGACTTATCTACTGTATTGTTTTCTTTATTTGGGTCTTCCTGGTCTAACATGGTAGGACTTGTAATAAACGTATTGACTTTACCAGTAATAGTGTTGTCTACATTATCTACAACAGGACTGTTATGCACACCTTGCTCATTCAACTGCCCAAGGCTTACATCGTATCCATTCAATGTGCTTGAGTCAGCAATTTTACATGTCTTCTGCTTTCCTTCACTGTCATTGGTAAGGTTATCATGTATAGAGCTGTCAACAGTTTGATCACACTTATCATCATTAGGCTTCATAGTTTTCTTTTCAAAAGCAATATCATTTGATCCATGTTTGCTATTTGTAGCTTCACCACTAGATTCACTAATAAAAGTTCTTTCAGACTGCAGTCCTATATTCTCATCATTACTAGGACTAGTTTGTCCAGAATCAAGATTTAGATGTCCATTTCTGTCATTACATTGCTCTTTGTTCTGAGCTGATACATGTCCATTTACTTCATTATTACACTTAATCTCTGACTCTACCTCGGAATCATTATGCACACTGTTTTTGTCAATGTTTTGTCCTTCGGTCTGGACTTCAAGCTCTCCATTGTTAATACTTGATGTTTTTGGTTCCTTAGTAAAGGTTCCTTCTGATTCAAAAGCTGGTTTAACATGAGAAGGAACTGAGGGTTGTAAAGTTGAAGGCAATGATTTTKTCTTCCTGGTAACAGTACATGTACTTTTTACTTTAGAATAGCAAATTTTGTTTGTCACATTTGGTGTTTCTGCCTCTCCATCACTTGTCTCGTCTCCATCTATTGAAATCCAGAATGTCTTTTGATGTGAGTTTTGTTGTTTCTGCTCACAAACTGAGCACATGTTTGACTCTGAAGTTGAATTTAGGTGATGGTTACAAGAAACACACTGTCCATCACTTGCGACATCATTCAAATTAACATAAAAAGAGCATGACGATGTTGATGCAGTTCTTTGTCTTTYTGTTTTTTCATGTTTGTCTTTCTCATTTGTCCCTTTTTCCATATCTGCATCGTCGGTTTTTGCAAGTATTGCAGATGCATCATCAACTTTTTCATTGTCTTTGATGTTTGGGATCCAAAAACCTTTGATTTCAGGCAAAGAGAAAGTTTGTGTTTGGTAYTGGGSTGAYGTTTCATTTTCTGCTACTTSTCTTTCATTTYCATCMACATTTTCAYTATCTTTTCTCAGATCACTATCATTACTAGTGTCATCCTCATAAAAACTTGCAAGGTGTAATTCATTTCTATTGCTTTGCATTTCTCTTTCGTATATTTCTTGATCATCTGGTTTGCTTACATCAGAGGGTGAGGATGGTGGTTGTGGAGGGCTTCTTAAATCAACTACATCAGCAGAAATAGCAAGTCTTGCCAATGCAGTCAGACAAGCTGAACCATTTTGCAACAAATCTGAAAACAAGTATTGATTGTTAGAAGATACAATGAAATACCGTACTACTCTCTCAATCATATATGGAACAGAGATGGATTTTATTAATCCACGCACCACACACTGCCAAACAAAGTTGCTTTTTTGGAAGGACAGAAGCACAACAAAATAAAACCATGTGAGATTATAAGAGTACATGAATAATGATTGGTACTGATGGTTAGTATATTTACTTTATATCACTATATTTACCATATTTTACTTTACTATATTTACTGGTTTTTCTAATGATGAAATTAAATAAAAAAGACCATTTCTTTATTGCTCACCTAAGTCAACAACTTGCCCAACACACCCAAAGCTACTGCCTGACCGCTGTGTATGGTTGGACAGAGCTAGATCTGGTGTTACAGAACCTGGTAAAGGTGCTATTCTTGCTGGTATTCTGTTCCTTCGTGTGGTATGTGGGGATAACTCTATATTTCTTCTTGCACTGCCATTACGATAATTACTWAAYGTGCAAGGTGTTCCTGGYAATGAYCTGGAATGGCCTGGGTTGAGGAGACGCATGCGTTGTATATTGGTGATTGAAGGGAAGTCTGGCTGTAGAGAACTGATAGAAATAAGAACATTAATCATCTCACTATTTATTAGCTACTGAATTRCCACTGTACTATTGCTAATCATTACTAATCTCTAATAATACCTGGGATATTGCAGTTCAATGTTCTTCACTGAAAGTTTGGGAAGTTCAATTCGTTCTTGAGTAAACATTGCTATAAATATAACAAGACTAATTGACTGACATTTCCATGACAACAGCCCATTAAATTTCCATAATTGTACCTGATTCATGACATCGTGAGCTAACTTGTTTTGTTTGTTGCCTGGAAATCTCATTCTTCCTGGACCTTGGTGGACTTGGTTTGACTRACAATGACTTGCTCCGCACAAGTGGTTTTTGGGTTTTCTGCTGGGACTGTGAACATTGTCTAGTAAAAAGAAAAAATAGACAAATATAATCTACTGTACAACTACTCTCTTAGTTGTACTTAGTTCTACTCGCTATTATCTGGTTATGGCCAATGAATTACTGTCCTGCAGRTGTCTAGGAGAGGAGAGCGAGTTTTTAATATGTGCCCTTTGCTGAGAGTTTGAATGTATTTGCAAACACACAATTAAATATATAAAAATAAAAGCATCTAAATATATTATTTGTCTTACCCATTGTTGCTGCTATTTATGTTTGWTGAATTAAGTTGCTTTGATGRTAATTTACCTGAAATCAACAACAAAAACATTGCATTAAAAAAATCCCATTTGTGTAATAATTTGGTCTTCAGATGCTTTCACATACAAGGAGAGAGTGTYTTTTCTTTTGGTGAAGTTATCTGAGCTTGCTTTTCTTCTACTGTACATGTAGTGATCTCGGAGTTCTGGTTTGGAGCTTAAAGAAAGAATTAAATCATTTGACAAAATATGATTAATATAATCTTTTACACAAACACAAATTATACCATTTTCAGAAGTACCTGAAAGGGAACGCCTCTTTCTTAAGTTYTTGGAGTTATTCTTTGTCTGTTGAACCCAAGCTTCTAAAAAATTAAGAATGAAAAGAATTAAGAATGTATAGCTGTTTGTGACCACCTGTGTTTCAGACTGTCTTACCTTTTAAAAAACGATGCACTTGTTTACTAGTGGCGACATCTACTGGTGAGTACCCATAATCATCAACTACAGTGACATCAGCACCATTGTCAATCAAAGCGTTTGAACTCCTTTCATGACCATGTGCTGCCTACAATCATAAAAAAGAGAATTTATTAATAGTCTTCTTCACGGTTCCCTGTGCACCTGCACCATCTTGAAAGGTAGCTGTGCCTTTGCATCCATGCAAGACGACCGTTGAAGCTTGCAATGATAGAAACCTTCTTTTACACCTACAGACAATTTTGCACAGGTATCTATCATTGCACGCTCAACGGTTGTCTCGCTTCGATATAAAGGCACAGCTGCCTTTCAAGAAGGAACCGTGTAGGAGACTATATTGTCACATGCTTGTCATGCARCACATTGAACTTGTCGCACAACAAAAGACCAGTAGATTTGTCACACAAAACATTTCATAGATTTAGTAGGACAAAAACAATTCATTCCATACCGACATGTGCAAAGGTGTTTGACCATTGTAACCYTTCACATTGACATCAGCTCCACCATTTATCAAAGCAAGCAGGACAGGATAATTGTCTTCTCTTGACGCTATATGAATTGGTAAACAATTGAACCCATCTTGTACATCTAAGCAGCTATCTTGCTCCTCGATGATCAAATTTGCCATTTCTTCAGCAATCTTGCCTTTATTATTTGCRACATAATGAAGTGCRCTAACACCATCGCTGCTTTTAATACTAGCATTCCTAATAAACATTACAATATGAATATATATTATTATAAGTAAATGCATAAAGATGTGATGGCAACAGAGTATAGTTATGATGATGATGATGACAATGATAATATATAATGATAACAAGTGTGTTATATATGATGCTGATATGAGATCATGAAAATATTGATAATGGTTATAGTAATGATGAATTGCCCAAAACTGCAAGACTGGGATATACACTGAGAATTTCAAAMTTCTCAACAAAATTTCACAACAACTTACGCTTTATGATGCAACAACTCCTTCAACACCTCMAGAGGATGATATCCTTTTTCGGTTACTTCTTTTTCAACTGAAATTCAAGACTTCCTATTAATAATGCAATAAAATAAAAAACAGTAATATTCTCTTTTCACTTACTTTTTTCAAACAAKTCAACATCACGTGTTACAAGCAGTAGCGGCGTCATACCATCAGCATTTTTGCAATTCACATTAAGGTCTGCCTGAGAAGACTGAAAACAAACAGAAATAACCTTTTAACCTGAGACTTCACTCATTSGTAATCCATCATATCAATGTGTTTACTGATGGCTTAAATACTACTTTATAAACAATATCGTACCAGCAGTCTTTTTAGAACATCCACATTACCCTGCCATGCAGCTTGTAAAAGATGGCGATGAGAAACACCTGATAATAATATTGATGATAATTATTCATGCTGTACTCTTGAACATTGTTTACCAATATCATCCATTACTTGGTCCTGACAATAATGTCAGAGATATCTTACCTTGTCTTTCAACTGAGGCTTAAAACAAAACAAATAATTATCATTAGTAAAATTTACTATTATGATTGTACAATCATTACTCACAATAATATCAAATTMTACATCCCTAAGAATGGACCATTAGAACAGTGAAGCAGTTACTTTCATCGCACTTTTTCTAGTCCCACAAATTATGCTGTTTTGTTTTGTAATTTCTCATTTTTATGACCTTTTTTCTTCAATTGCATGGAATTTTTGGTTAACCACTCCTGCTCCCTTTCAATTTTTCTAAAAGGATTCTCACTTTGAGTCAACCATTGCACCCCCCCTCTGCCTGAACACCCCCCCCCCCTGCCTGAACACATTCTAATAATGATGAATAGTCTAATAATAATTTATCAATTATGACTAACCTAGAAGGATGTGCTGTATTGATTCTGGTGCCAGTTCAATCACTGACTGTCCTTGTTCATTGAGTAAAGTTATATCAGCACCGTAATTCAACAGTAATTGTACTACCTGACATAAACAAAACCTACTTTAAAATCCATTTCCTGTGGGATTATAGGAATGCTGATTAACCATTGAAATTAAACAATTATTGAATATATATAACTTATGCCCTTAATGTTTTTGTTAAAAATAAAACCACTCAAAACAATGCRTTGTCACAGTTTTAATCCACTTCTGAAATTACATCTAAAATTGCAAGCATTACATACATCTTCTGGGATCAGGATTCTACCTAACGATTGGGGTCACAACGGCTGGGGTCAGAATCATTGTTAAATCAGCACCAGATGTCAAATAATTTTTGGTAATTATTGCACGGAATCACTTTTTTCCGGGGGAGGGGGGGGGGGCGAGATCAAATTCGAAAGGCAATTTTGGGATCAGTGATCCCCTGCTCAAAGGGTTTTCAACAGTACATTTGAAATAGTACATTTAAAAATGATACTTTCATAAGTGTGAATTCATTTTGTAAATAGAGCAGCCAAAACCAGGAAGAGGTTTGATCTTTCAATTAGACATAAACCCCCTAATCTCCTCACTGATGTTATGTCATTATTATGGCTAACCTTGAAGGTTTTTTTTTGCTTAATTAACTACATAAAAATTAAAAATTAAGTAGGATAATACAATAATGCTATCACTCACCTCTACATGGCTTCCTAGAGCTGCTAAAAATATCGCTGTGTTGCCTGTCTTCTTGTCTTTGTAATCTACATTTACATTCTGCACACATAGCATAATATCAATCATTAACTATCATTGATCATTGTGGTTACAACTTGTTAACAAGGAACACTTTTATTACACCTTTCTATCCTTGTAAGATTAAGTTACTCACATTATTTCTTGAGGAACGCTTGAGAAAGTATCGTATTCTCTCGATCTCGCCATTCTAAGTAAACAAAGACAGAACAGTTTGCGGTCGTGCAGAAACTTTATGATAAAACAGTTGTCAACAAAGCAGCGATTTTATACCGACCTTTGCCGCTTTCAGGAACAGATTTTGGAGATATTCGTTTGCTCTAACGGAAAAGCAAAGCAGAGGGTTAGTTACAAGTCTGGTAATACAGAATTATCAAGCATTTAGAGAGCAGATTCAAATTTACCTTCCTCCATTGTAAAACACTCTTGATGCACACTCGTGGTAGTGCGAAAGCAAGTTGGGGTTTCGATGTGATTTGCTTTCATCGTTATTTTTATATATTTCTTTTGCCATTTTAACTATTATCTACCATGATTGAGTAAGTTCAARCATGGCTGCAATGAAAGCCATTTTTGCAGTGAAATTATTGGCCAAAATTGACAAAAACAAATGTTTCAGCTGTAATGTACATTACGGTAATATATTCATCGGAATAATCACGAGTTGTGTACCAGGCTACGCCATGGCGACATCCAATCAAAATACACGTAATAGAAAGAGGGGATTATGGACCGGGCAACCACATGCATTACGTCATAGAGCACGTTTTCATGGCTGGTTAAAAGACTTTCATCGTTTTACAGACTTTTAGAAATATAACTGCAACTCACTAAATGGTAGGTTTGTCCAAGAAAAAAAGCAACCARTTAAGTAAAGAAACGATGAGGGCAAATGAAAAAAACACTGACAGTTTCTCTTTCCATCCGTTCTTTCAATCCTTCGGCTATACATCCCGGGGGACCTCGGGGGACCGGGCTATAGATTCATAAACTGCAGTGGCACACCAATAAAACGTGTTCGTTCTTTACGGTAGGATGTCATTACCTGATTTTGCAAAGGCGACAAAGAATTCTGGTAAATTCATGGTATAAATCGTATCCCTGCTTTCTCGAAATAACAATATAGAAAAATACAAGATATGAATCGGCACTTGTCACGTTTGACTAGATTTCCGTGTTATCRAATATATTAGCGAAACTGAGAAAAAAACTCAAACACTGACACAAGCAAGACAAAACAGATCAACGAATTGCTGACAACAAAATTGACAAAACGCGAAGAATCCAGTCTAACCATCGCATGACTGTCGGAACGTGGCCGCATTGTGATAAAAAAAATGAAGCGTCCTTTTTATTAAAAAAAAAACAATTGGAAAATTGCAGGCTAAATTTATATGATTAGGTGATAGGAACTACAAAAGCACACCAACGAAAAAAAAAAAATACGAGCAAAAAAAATCCATCAAACAACAAGCGAAAAAAAGACAAAAAAAAGCACACGACGGTTCAACCTACCTCCTACTCTCAATGTGAATTCGCTTTGATAGTTTGGTAATGGCAAAATCTCTTTCAGTTAAATAAGGCATCAAATCTTCTCTTTTTGTACTTGTCCTAATCCAACATTACTAATGAATCGTGTTCAATGTAACTCAGTACTGTTATAATGTGTTCGTGACGTATCGTGCGCACCTTAAGTCAAGTTAAGTTTGCGTGCGTTGAAAGTATAATGACTCCTCGTTTGTTTCACTGAAGTAATCTTTTCGCTTTGTCTTGACATAGATACATACGTGTTCATCATCCAAGAAATAAGTCACATAACCCGTGAAATAGATACGATAATATTAATCTTATCGGCCAAAAGTCCTATACTCCACTTTCTTTCGTGGACTGCTCATGACTACACCTTGACTTCCAAGGGTGTCGTTCATGGTTGGCCAGTGAAGAATACAGTTCTACTAGAAACGTAGAAGACAAATACTAACACAGAAAAAAGATTTAAAGATAATTTTTATTACCGACTATTAAATAKATAACAAAAAATAATATTACATAATATTTTTTAATTCCAAGAGTAGAATTTGAAGAATTKTTACAATTAACCCTATTTAAACTTTTCATTTGAATTTGCAAATGTCATTTACTGGATCTATGAACTACGTTCTAAATCTACTGAAAATGATAATGTCTAAATATAATTACAGGGGAATAAACGGCTTCCTCACATAGTTAATGCATGTCATTTATGTTCAAAAGGGGACAATGTTTATGACACAACAGTGATATTTCGTAAATGATTGTTCACCTGCGTATTGAAGAGGTCTGTATTTGTAATAAGGGGGGTGCAATCACAATAGAAAATAAATAGAGGATTAACATAGTGGYACAAACTTATTTGTGGGTGGGACCCCCCTGTATCCACCCATACAGTGACGCAATAAATTTAATTATACTTGTACCTATTTCAAATTARCTAGTACAAATTTAGCTACACATTTTACTACAGTTAGCAGACTTGGGATTAACTGACTGACACTTAAAAGACTGAGTTAATTTCGTACAATTTCACAGACACAACGCAAACATTCAATGCACATCAACCCTTATTTACACATATTAAAGCTCAGGGCAGAAACTTTTGTACTGTTAAATGTTGACTGTTTGAACATGAAAAAATTAATTCACAGTCTCCCAGTACAACTATTTCCCAGATCATCTCTTAAACCTGCCAAAAAACTCTTGTGTGGCAGTCCCTCATGTCAGGTAGGACCCAATTCTGACCACAGTGACGTTAAAA